GACCAATACTATCTTTTATATGCTACAGAGGGTCTGTATTCACCTTGCTTACAGATAAACGGACAAACTGTGGTTTACTGAGTGAATCTTTATCGCCTCGAGTCTTGACTCATGTCTAGCCCAGTTTCGTGTCAATGGCTACGTATTTAGCTCGTGTACTGTTGTTTATGAGGCGTTTCATTATAGTATGTTGTTACTTGTACAAACAAACGCCACACCCACAAATGAGTTCCCCCTCATCATCTACTCTCCGGAATGGCACGACACACAGGACTCTATTGACGGCCATTAATGATATGAAGGAAGTGCCACCTAATGCCATGTGTAATGACGCTATGGCCTCATCCTTTATGTAAACAAGTAATTTTAAAGTTGCATACCCACACAATACTAGCTTGCCCGCTATATACTCTCCTGATGCGACTTTTTCGAAGGTCAGACCAAATTATCCAAAGCTCCACAACTCCAGTCTTGACACTGCTACAGCATACTGCATTCTGCGTATCCAGAGGAGTTAAGATAAAGTGAAGTTCAGTTGATTTCGTTTCCGTTCATTGCACATTGCAAGGTGCATTTATGGTGGGTTTTTACCAAATGCAGACAACTCTTTACGAGTCTACAAATCTGCCTTCCTACTTCCTTGGCATTGATGCACAATTGAAACTGAGTATATTGATGAACGCCACAATTTATTGAAAAATGGAAATGACAGTGACGAGAGAGTATGGAGTACATTAGCAAGTGATGCAAGAATTTCGAGGATTTCCGCTAATAACTCGCAAATGCTCAACAGGGTTATCTGCTCCAGCATTGATTGTGAGTGCAGTCGTAACCAGTTGGGCATTTGGTGCAGGATCCTCCTTCAGTGTAGGGCTTACGCCCTATGAAATTGCCCCTAAATGCAAGACAAATCAAAATGTCGTTATGGTGAAACATTGGAAAACTTAGATAGTGTAGGCACAAATCACGCATGTGTGGCAGCGACCACAATTGAAGAGGGTATACTTGGACTCACGCAGGAGAGTACTGACAAACCAAATAATATACTGGTGGACGCCAAGCTGGAAGCATGCTGTCGCAACGATTGATTGCACAGCCGAGTTCAGTTGAGTCGGCCCAAACCATCTAACAGATGGGAATGAATTAGTAAATGTGTTAAAGGTTAGAAAGGTTGGAAGTAGGGCAATTTGATATCTGGAGGAATATCAGAGATTACCTGCGTGTAATGTCCGCAGACCTTAAAAGGAATGCAGGAGTTGTTGGAGTAAGTGTAATATTTCACTTCTGCCTTCCACATATTCGCTAGCCACCTAACTGTTGGAACTAAACCTCCAGAAGCGGCAAGATTCTGTCCAACACCCCTATATTCTGGATGTTGTTGTGGGTCCGTGTGTGCGTACCTGCATCGCCTAGCCCATCTTTCTGCCAAATTCTCCAGTCTTGGAGAATATTTCTAGCACAGAACAAAATAGATTTGGGATGGAGTAAATTTGCAACGGAAGCGTCAAGGCAGCAATGCCAGGCTTGGTGTGTCACCAAATTAATTCAAAATTTGTTTACCATTAGCATCATGTTGGAAGCAGGTGGGCGCACTTGCTCACGAGCTGCTGTGTGAAGTTCAAGAATGCTCCTACGGTCTTCTTCACTAAGCGCATGGACAACAGCAAACAACGCAGTCAGGAGGCTAGCTGCCTTGATCATGATGGCTAGGATGAGCGAAATAGCACGGGCTAAATGAGTAATCATCAAAGTGGTTGAGGCTAGCCTGTCTGATTCAACCAAAGTCCTGGTAAGCCATCTGAACAAAATATTTACGACTGTTATATACCTATCTTCAACAAAGCTACAGACGACTGCACCAATAAGGTTGCCGTGACTATACCAATCACAATTGGTGTTAAATTTTATATTTGTTCTGATTCAATTACCTGACCACATGACACACGAAATAGGCTGCATCTACAGCTAAATTAGCCTACGAAAGACAGAGCAGCAACAGTATCCATCTGGTGTTGTAGTAACACTAGCTAGCAGCTTTCCGTATACGAGAAACCCTCCTGGGACAGATATAGAATATTGGAAACCTACCAACACGGTTGTGTTAGCTTGCATAGACTAATAAAGAAGGTGCTCAGAGTTAAGGATTGCCCGAGAACATGGTGGAAGATCATTGAGTACAGTACACGCACCCTAATGTATACGTAACTTAAAGTTGTCGGTGGGCGCGGGACAACAAGACAGGTTTGTATCTAGATCACAGGAGGAACATATTAAAAGGCAATGCAGCCTTAACCCATCGCGTCAGTTGACCCAAAACGCCAAGGCCTAAATGCACAGATGGAGTTTCTTTAAAAATTCTTTTATAATTGAGCCATTATTTCAGCACAATAGAGTACAAAAGCACGTGGGAATGTTGTAGTTCTTTGACAGTCTCTTGGACACTGTGTTTGATTGCATGGGCAAGGTAAGAGTTCGCCATGAACTCTGACCACGTCTTTAATTTCGGCTCTTCCTCTGCACAGCAGTGATATATTTTCTGCTATCCCATTGTGAATTACCACAAATTAAGGAAGGTATCACTAAGATACTATGTCGGCAGTGGCAAACAAACCCGATGTGAAATGACGATCTCCTTGACTTCAATTTCTGCACGCTAAACACTAACATCTAATTTATGTAACTACCCAGTTCCGCATTCAGTAAAAATGCTACTGTGAACTGAAGCGATGCTAGACAGGTTCATTATGGTGCTGTCTACATTATCCACATGAATATGCTTAGTAAATGAACTCGGATACTTTCTCCACCACCACTATTACCTAGGCAGAACCGATATATATATGACTCGAAGGGGTCGCTAAGGTGAGAAAAATGCAGCAATTTAGGAATTGAGGTGCAGCATTATACCCATCAAGTTATTTAAAATCCCAAGTTTACCAAATGACTCTGCCTTTTGGCTTAATGATATTACGATTAGCGGTGAGGATACTGGGTGGCCTCGTTGCAAACATCATCCTCTCTCCAGCAGTAAGGGAGCATTGCATTGCACCCTCCTCCAATACGCCTCGTAGATGGGACAATAATTCAGGTGCAGGAGAATGGCCAAGGTGAATCAGCGCCGTTGACACCAAATATCGCTTTAAGTTCAGACAAATTCGATGACTGTAACTTCTGCCAAGTGAGTGCATTTTACATAATGCATCAACTGCGTTGTGATGGTTGACGTGGGAGGCAGACCATGGAGTGCTCCGAGAGACGATGCTCAAAGGGAAAGACGGACTGTGCAATGTGCTGATAGTTTGTCTGGCTGTGTGTGGATTACGCAAGCAGCTAATTGTTTACAAATTTTACTTCTGCTGTGCGGTCTGGCCTCCAAATCACGCCAGTTGGCTCAGCTCTCTTCGATGCCAGTAATATATTTTCCCTTACAATACAATGACTTCTTACGACCTCAGAAATGTCTCGGACATTGCAACTGCATAGTCTTGCATTTTTTGAATAAAAGCATTTTATTTGGGTTTGAAAGATAGTAAAGGAATTTGAGAAAATAATATTTGCTTTGATTTTCAACAAAGACCACTTTACACCTTTATTCGAAGCGGTTACATTTTCCAACTTGAGGACATGAAGCAATGTTTATGTCATTTTTGCTAGGGGAATGGTATCGCAGGCAATGAGGACTGGAATTTTTTGTGATAGAAATAACTAATCAAGCGGTATAGCTTTTGTAAAATGCGAAATCCTAGGAAATATAAGTGGTGATTTGAATTTCCTCCTCAAAGAAGTACTTAGGGAATAACAAATGCTTTCCTTTACGTCGAAGAGAATGTCAGTAGAATAAACACATTGTATCTGCAAATCTCTCATCATTGCTTAGGTTCGGATGAATAGATCACCACACCATTGTATCTACATTTCATTGAGGCTGCATTTACAGTCGGCTGGGATCTCACGTAAAGTTGTAACTCACTCAGGTTGAGAAATGGTAACCCTAAACCATCGAATGCAGTAAATGCAGCTGAAACAGTCTTTAGATGATCGTGTACACAAACACCTAATTTTGGATTTGATAGCTCTTCATTCTGCGTGATACAGCTGCTACTTGAAGACAATGCATGGCGCGGGTGCACATCGAACTAAACTGCCTGGTCTTCTGAAGTGGTGCTAGCAATGTAAAAAAGGCCGAAATTTCAGGATTTCA